TTTGGGCTGTCCCCTGGGGATCTTCTGCATGTCTGAAAATTCTGATCGATGGAAACTTGAACTATCATCGCTTGTTGGCAGGCGTTTAACCCTAAACCAGAATGCACGTGTTGGTACGAGCCTCGGTTTTCGACGCCTTCTCTATGCAGCTCCGATGGCTTTGGATAGAAGTCTTTAACCTTTGATTAACGTGAGTTTCAGTAGTGTGCTGAAAGCAGAGCCCTGGCTTACAAATGTACATTCTAATTTAGTTATGTTCTGCCCCCTGTGAGAACGCTCACTATGAGAATCATTTGAGATTTAACTCTAAAAACGGTTCATTTTACAAAACTATGTGCAGTATGAGCCATATTGTGGGTTTTTATGGCATCACCACCCATTCAGATCTGTTATTCACCCCTCAACCTCTGTTATGCCCCAAGGTGGGGTTACAGCCCAGGGTTTGCAGTAGTTTGGCACGTGGCAAGACAACAGCGTAAAGCATCTGCTCTCAACATTTACTGCATATAGCAGCAGGGATCTATTCCCACATGGACTGTAGAGATGAGTGTTTTGGAGTATTTACAGCTGGGGATCTGCTGAACTCCTAAATCAGGACAGAAGTTTTTGATTAATCTTGATTTTTAATCAGTAAAAATGTTCAGAAAAGTAATTGTGGAAAAAAAAAAAAAAAGCAGCCATGATTTAAGCTCCTCTGGATCTGCATCCGTTGTAAAACCTAAACGCTGTCGCACGCCTGCGTCTGGGTCCGGTCCGAGAAAAATAGTCACTGCTCCTCTCATAAACGTCGCAGGGTCTTCCTGATTGTGCAGGAGTAGACTTGCTCGAGATCAGATGAGACCAGTCATGTGAAACGAGTCAAGATTCCTACTGCTGATAAAGCCCCAAAAAAACCCATCATAAGATGAAAATCGATTTAAGGGTTTGACTTTTTTATACTGGATTTTTCAGATGGAAAAGGGATTTGAATCAGAAAAAAGCCCTTTGTGTACAGCCCATCTGCCACGGGCAGTCAGTTACTAAGCAAGAGTCAAAGCAGCTGTATGTACATGATGACTTTTGTATTTCTTATGTGAGGATAGAACACATGGTTTACTACGTACGTAGGAATAGGCTTTTTTCAGATTAGATGACGTGTTACTTTGTAGTTAAAGGGTTCCATGAACATCGATACGGCCCAAGTTGATGAGAAAGGAGGAGAGAGGAGCAGAGTAATGCTGACGGGTGGCTCCATCCATCATTCTAAGCCCGGTCGGGTCCATTCAGCTGCTCTTTGGATCAAGACAGAGCTCGATAAGAGGCCCACTGGGATTGCGTTTGAGATGATAGTGTTCCAGAACAGGAGTGCTCCGACTGGAGGCGTTATGTCCACCAACATCGTAGGGATGTCCCAATCCAGCTTTTTGCCCTTCCCATCCGATACCCATACATACAGATACCAGCCTATCAGAGCATGTATTAAAGTTTAAAGTTATTAAGCCGACTTACTTGGTTGTCAGACTCACGTTGAACAGGGATTTACTCTTATAAAAACTAGCCAGCTGAATTAGGTGAGTTTGAATAATACACAATGGTTGGTAAAGAGAGACTGAACTGTTTATTCAGGGATAAAGACAAAATAGACTAAATGGAAATGGAATCATTGAACAGTAAAAAGTGCAAATAATATCGTAAACTGTATTAAAAAGGCAAAACACACAAAACCTGAAAAGAAAATAGTCTGTTAACCCATCAGTAATGGATTATTTCAATTGGTGCACTGGAAAACTTGGATCGTATTTGGAAAAAAAATGGATTGGGAGTGTGGATCGGCATTTTCTCAGGCCGGCCGATACACATTTTTTTCAAATATCAGCGGCCGATCTGATCCAATTATCCGATCGTGACAAGGCTAATCACGGGGTTATGTAGACAAAACGGCATCAAATCAAGGTGGGAGCATAAAGGAAACGTATGTTCTTCCCTCCATGTGCACGGTTTCCAAATTACATGCGACAAAGTTGCTTCTTTTTTTGTAATGATTCTGTTAATCCGTGAAAAAACTGCACCACTTTCTCACAAAACGCCCAGCGCTCGATGATCTCCTGATGGCCTGAGAAGTAGAAAAAACACTTTATTTATCCCCCAGGCATTTTCAGTGGTCAGTTAGCTCAAAATTGAAATATCTACAGCGATTTGATATCAGCAAAGAACATAATTAAAATGGATGCACTGTAACGTAGCTGATTAAAAAGGCTTCCAGCTGTTGGAACAAAGGACCCCCTGAACCTCTCAGTCCTGCAGCTGCTTCCCGGTCCTGCCAGGATGCTGTGGAGGGCTGGTTCATTGTTCCCAAAAAACGGAACATACTCCCTCCTCCTCTGCTGCCCTCAATGTTGGCAGAACACTCCAGTTTTCCGTCCAGCGACACCCCCCCCGATAGGCAGACGCAGCTCATCTGGCTGCAGCATAACCAGTTGCGCTAATTTGGCCCCTATTATGAGACGGGTAGTGTTCCTCAGCACCGGGGCCGTTTTCCATCTAAAGGCTCATCTGTTGTGATCAGATCTAGCCCGTGGGGGGAAGACGCTGCCCTCTAAACCTCCTCCATTTTGGCATGGAACCCATCTAAATCTCCACGCGCTGGACAGTCCACACACTGTACCCGGGAGGCCAGAGAGACCTGACGGAAATCCACTGTGATTAACAGAGAGGCTTCAGGGGGCCGGCTCTGCATTCTAGCAACGAGCGCTACGGAAGCCCGGCATTTCCACTCGGTGTGCCCTTAGTTTTGCTCCAGGTTCCTCAGCCTGGTAGGAATCCAGTGTTTCATTCTCTGTCCAGTGCCCAGCAATACGCAATAGCTCTTCTCTTGTGTACGCTGCTGAACTGTGTTGTCCACATTGTCCAAAAAAAGCAAGATACAGTAGAAACTCTACATAAGCATACGAATTTTCGAACATCCAAAGTGAAATTCGATCATATATTGGACTCGACACCGGAAGTAAATTTCCAACATGCAGTTGGAAATCCAACTTCGAAATCATAGGAAATAAAAATTAATATAAAAATGAATAAGTTACGTTAGTTTAAAGTTCACGTAGTGAAAGTTAGAGTAAGTTAGGGTACGGCCTGTGTCAGTCTCCATCTCTACCTCCACACCGACCGTCTCCTACACCTCAGTTCGCCAATAAGTGCCAATAAAATCCCCTTTTTATTGATTATTGTTTTTATAACTTATTTCTTTTTACATCTTATATAATGCATTTGTTTTATTGCTATGTGTAATTATCTGCAGTGTTTATGAAGGAGTCGTTGTTTTTTGGGCTGTGAACGAATTATACGAATTACAGTGTATTCTGATGGGAATATTTGAACCAACATATGAATATTTTAACATGCGAAGTAGGTCCCGGAACAAATTGAATTCCTATGTAGAGGTTCTACTTTATAGATAAAAGCCCTTTAGATTAAAACAAAGAATGTCCTATTTTCTTAAATATAATAAAAGGCACAGGCTGACCTCTGTTTGCTCTCTGTGCTGCTGTAGGTGAACCATCGGACAGGATCCACCCGGGGGACCCTTGAACAGCCCACCGGATTCCTTCACCCACGCAAGAGGACTCACCAGGCTGACCGGCACTGTGCGGGGAAAGGAAAGACCCTGATTCTGAAGCTGAATATACAACTGCGCTGTGGAATAATCTTTTTTGAAGAAGAGGGAAAAAAACAACATTTTAAGACCACCTCTTTTTCAATACAGTTGTTTTTAGGAAGCTGTTCCACTGAGACCGTATCCTCCAAGGGACTGCAGTCGGAGGGCGTTATACAAGCCTCAGTGCTCGTTTGAGGGGAGGGAGGCAGGGGGAAATCCCAGAAGACTGTCTGTAGCCGTCAGTAGTTATGTAACTACTGGTCACTGTCTAACAGGGCAGAACGGGAAAGCTAGTCGAGGGTAGAAGCAGTTCTGCGCTGTCGTTGCCGGCCGACATGAGATAGTATTCTGGGCCGGAGGTCCGGAGCAGTACTCCGACTCTTTAATGTATATGGATACTAATGGATGAGCTGCCGGAATTCTCCCCGTTGTGCTTTGGGACCAACCGTGCAGCCACTCCCCGCTCTTCCCATGCCATCTGCGGAGCGGCCGGCAGCTGAGGTGGTTTGAATCGCCCGCCGTGGGACGTGAGGGATGTCCCGACACCGGAAAACCAGACTACTGCACTGGCCTGCGCACAGACTGCCGTTTGTCGGACCATCCCAGGACTGAAAAGCTGCCCCTCCCCACTTCCAGAGGCTTGTCGTTTTTTCTAATGAGCGAGGATTTTCCCGAACGCTGACCATTTCCCCCCCCCCGAGCATCTCACCGCCGACTGGATCTGATTCAAAGCCAAAGAGAGGAGAGGAAGGAAAAAACGTGCCAAATCAGAATACTGTCCCAGCTTTCCTAATTTTTTTTTCTTCCCCCCCTCACTTCTGCTGCATCCCATGTTTATCGGTTGCTCCTTTGCCTCTTCTCCATGTGTCCACGTGGCTTTGCAGAACAGGTTTACCTCCGCCCGCACACCTCGCCATCCTCCCCCCTGAAGACCAACCGAGCTCCAACCGCGATGTCTCTGTGTCAGGAGCCCATCGGACTTTAACAGTCTCTTGCTTCGACAAAAGGGTCCAATTACGTTACACTTTTTTAAAATGACGATTTATTGATTTTTTTAAATGATTTTTTTATTTTTTATTTTATTTTTTGCACAGCTATAATCAAGTACAAAACGCTAGTTCCGCTCCAGAGAGCCCCTTTTTCAGGATAATCTCTGGCTCATGACTTCACCTCTTTTTTTTTGGCAGATAGGAAAAAAGGCTTTTACATCAGAGACTCATAAGCTTCTTCCAATCTCCCACACGGTAGACCAGGCTTGACGTAAGAGGACGAGGGGTTCACTCTGACTCTCAATTGAGTTTTGCGATTTAGAGTTTTTTTTGTTTTTTCCTCCATATTATCCACCTGCACGAGGAAACCCTCGAGCCTTCCTCCTCCTCTTTGCTGTCCCATCCTTCGTCAGGGAACACCTGTGCATTCATGCTCCAACATTCATCTCTGAGGGACTGATTCTCCGACATCGTGGGCGAGCAGCCTCGCCCACAGGTTCGCGCAGGAAGTGATGCCAGGTAGCAGTAGTAAAAGCGGAGGGCGAGGTCCGTCCTCGTCGCCCCTCCCCCATGCGGTGGTCCCGCCCAGCAGACCCCTGCGACCCTCCCGCTACGTGCCAGTGTCGGCCGCCACCTTCTTCCTCGTGGGCTCCACCACGCTCTTCTTCTGCTTCACGTAAGTGAGGAGGCCTCATTCCCACCGCACATGATCACCGGTTACAGGACAGTTTAGTGCAAGTGCATGTGTGTTAGGGTTGTCAAAAGTATCGATACTAAAACGTTGTATCCGGATACGATAATAATTTTCAAAAGTATCGATAGGTTCCAAAAGTTTTCATACAATAAGTCCAAACAACTTTAACCAAAAAATATTTATTTCTCACAATTATGAAGGGTGGAGGGTTAGGGTTAGGGTCATTAATGCGGGCCAATGGCCACGATAACATCAGTAATAGGTATGTTTGAAACGAAAGACACTAACCTGTCAGTTAAATTTTGGGGTCTTAGTTTTTAACCTTTTGGTATCGAAAATGGCATAGCGTATTGAATATTTTCCTGAGTATCGGTATCGAGTTGAAAATTTTAGTATCGTGACGACCCTAATGTGTGTGTGAGTGGGCAGGACCCCCCTTAGGTCACATGGTGGTTGTTGTATGTTAAAAAAATATGTTCTTAAAGTTGAAATGTGTGTCAGTCTAAAAAACACCCAGGCTGCTCTGTAGCCCGTGTGTCTGGCCATCGAAGTGCACGCTGACCACCGCCAGCGGGACCCGAGGTCGAGCGAATCTGGGGAGAATCTGTGAACCTGGCAAGAGGCACCGGAGCCCAGCCAAGAGGGAGCCAACGTTGGCCTCCCAGCTGCAGCAGCAGCAGAAGCCATTTGTTTTGCTGGGCTGTTTGCGTCGCATCTATTCAGTCGTGTGGCGACACTGAAGGGTTTTAAGACCCAAAAGAGGAGACTTTTCATCACGAAAGCCACCGGTTTCCTCATTTATCGCACCCTCTGTACCAGGCAAAAGTCGGAAAGAATGGAGAAAGAGAAGAAGGATTATATTGGAGGAGAAATACAGTAGAGCACAAATAGAAGTGGGATTGATTCGCTGTTCGTATTCCGGCATTGAAATCCCAGAATATTGGTAATGTGTGTGTGTGTGCGGCAGACTGAATCAGAAATGCATCCTTGTGTGTATGTAGCTGTGTCTCACATTAGAACCACCAGAACCGTGTCCAGTAGGAAGGCCGCTCCCAGTTCACCAAGTAAAACAGAAACGCGTCATTCTTGGGTTGAGTAAGGAGGTAAATGTAATGAGCCGAACCAGGTTAGATCGGGACCACTCACTGTCTAAACATTTGTCGGTTTATCACACAATCAACACAAAAACCCCAATAAAACGGCAACATTATGCGCATCCAAGTGGAATTCTGCTTATGTCCCAGAACACGCTGCTTTCAGCAAATGGTGGACGCAATCTTATTTAAAGGTACACAGTGTAGGAATTTCTCCATCTAACAGTCGGGTGATGAGGCTTGTAATTTAAAAGAAATTACAAACTGCATTGAATCATTAGTGTAAGCATGTAATTATTCTTCGAACAAGATGGCGAATCACGTTGCCACGTGACTCTGGCTACGAATAAAAACGCGTTGTGGATTAGCCAGACAGGCAAACTAGTGCTTTATGTCCCCCTCTGTGATGGTAGTTTTTCAAAATGGCGGAACGACAGGGAAACATCCGTGGACTTACCCATCCTATGTATATATAGATGGGAAATTCTTCGCTTATGAGAAGTCAGATGGTTGCAGAGGTCATTTTACACCAAATTAGGACATATTTATAAGTTAAGAAAATTTATTTAAGCTAATAAAATAATTAAATTACTATACAAAGTCCCTTTAACTTGCTGGAGTGTGTTGCATTTACATGTCTGGACCAACGGGATGCAAAGGACACCACAGCATGTCCTCTGTGTGTCCATCAGCGTGAAGATGCACAGAAATGGCCGAATGCAGGAATGTCCGAGCGGCAGGTGCTGAGCCGGCTTCCTTGGGCGCGCTTGTGCGCGCATGTGTGAGGAAATCTAATCTGTGTGTTTGTGGTCAGTGCGGTGGGCAGTCGGCTCTGTGCTTAGATTAGCGAGGGGAAAATAGGCCAACATCTGCCACCCTGACAAAAGCCCATCATCCAGTCTGTCACTCTTTCTTTCCCTCTCACTGTCGCCGCGAGCGGGGCTCGGAGAAAGGCCGCCAACGGCTTTAACGTCGGGGAGCAGCACGGCCGGGACCGCCAAGCGTCTGTTCAGACCCTAAAATGGGGGGCCGTGAAATTAAAAAGCGAGGCGTCCTTGTTTTGTCAGGGTGCTTCTCACCAAACGCATATGCTATTACAGAATGACACACTCAGAACATTTGTTACCATGACGCAGCCCGTTTTTTCCGGAAAGATCCGGAAAGAGGTGTTGACGCAGCTGTTGAGATCCAAAGCAAAACGGTCTCGGCGGGTCCTTTGTGTTCCAGTCCCGGCTGGGTTTTGCCTCCCAGCAGCAGCAGCAGTCAGTGACTCAGGCCGGAGCCCATCCAGCACTTAATCCCGAGCAGCGGTTGGGCCTCGTGACCTAAGCCCAACGTGGTCGGCGCCCGGCCCAACGTGGTCAGCGCTGACCGGGAGGCATCATGACGGATGAGCGTCTGTTTCCCTGTGACTCTGAGTCAGCTTTGAAACTGTTGGTCATCCTTTTTTGTTTTTTTTTTAGATCTCATACATTTTAGAAACGGTCTGTTGATGTGAGGGGTGAGCTCCGTGAGTGACAAATTCAAGATGACGTCATAAAAGAAGCCAGTCAATTTTGGAGTTTTCCATCCCGTCTCCCCATTCCGGGGCTGCTTTTTTAACTTGGTTTAGGAACTATGCAACACTTTATATGCGTCTCTCATTTGTGGGTTGCCTCCTTGGGGCGGTTCTTAATCCTCCCTACAGCAATAGATGGGAGCCAGTCCATTTAATTGAAAGTTTTTTTCTAAAAACTGCGGTGACCTCCTGATAGTTCGGGCACCTGTTTATGCACTCTGCTCACGTTTCAGGTGCCCGTGGCTCTCGGAGCGCTTCTCTGTAGCCGTCCCCGTCTACAATGGAGTTATCTTCCTCTTCGTGCTGGCTAACTTCTGCATGGCCACGTTCATGGACCCCGGCATCTTCCCAAGAGGTGAGTATGTTCACCAAAAACCTCTTTATTTTTTTTCATTTTTTCAAATCATGTCACAAGTTTTTTTATTATTATTTTTTTATTGTGGTGATGTAAAAGCCCTGAAAAAGCCATGCCTTATTTTGACCTTATTGACATGTGAAGGCCGCCTGTAAGGACTCACGTCCAGCACAGGGCCGGTGTGGATTATTGATTGAGGTGTTGAGGCTTTTGTCGGTGTTATTACTGACTGGACTAAAGAGCTGTGGCGCTCAGGACCATTAGAGTTAGAGTTTCTGTGCTCACAGAAAAGCGAGCGTTAAGTCCAGGGTGCATTGTGCCGAGAAAATGAATCCTACCACGCAAAGCCTCCTTATCCGGACTACATTGAACCCCAGTAGGGTTTCCTGTCCATTTCAGTTTTCCTGTGATGATTTTTCTCCACACGCTTTATTGTTGAGAGGAAAACGTTTCTATTAGTCACTCAAAATGTGTTTTTTTTTAATCCATTCTTCTGCTCGATGTGACATAACATTTGAAAATCCTTAAATCCTCATTTTCTCTTGTGGGCCCTTGAGCACTTTCTTATAGTGAAAGCTGTAAAGGGCATGGGAAAGGACCTCAGGATGACGGGTGTGGGGTGACAGAAAGGGAAAAAAAAAAAAGGTCTGTGGGGCCGCTGGTTGGCTTGACTTTGGGCTTTTTTTTTTTTTCCCGCGCAGCCGAAGAGGACGAAGACAAGGAGGACGACTTCCGCGCGCCCCTCTACAAAACGGTGGAGATCCGGGGCATCCAGGTCCGGATGAAGTGGTGCTCGACCTGCCGCTTTTACAGGCCCCCCCGGTGCTCCCACTGCTCCGTCTGCGACAACTGCGTGGAGGACTTCGACCACCACTGCCCATGGGTGAACAACTGCATCGGCAGGAGAAACTACCGCTACTTCTTCCTCTTCCTCCTGTCTCTGACGGCTCACATCATGGCCGTGTTCGGCTTCGGGCTGCTCTTCATCCTCTACCACCGGCAAAACATGGACCGCCTCCACGCCATCGTCACGTATCCTTTGACGTTCCCGTGAATTGTGCTTCGTGGCTTGGTTAGTAAGGGGCACGTTGAAATCGGGTCCTTCATTAACGATAACACTCGGAGGCTCCGTAGACGCCGTCTGTTGAACCCAGCTCTCCGCAGTGCTCCTTAACCCCCGGCGCCCCGCAGACTGGCTGTGATGTGCGTTGCCGGGCTATTCTTCATTCCCGTTGCGGGCCTCACGGGCTTCCACATAGTGTTAGTGGCCAGAGGCAGGACAACCAACGAACAGGTGGGGGAAAAACGCACGATAACCAAAAGGAATCATTTCGTCAACACCATTCGTTGTTCATTTAAGTGTCAGCGGGTTTAAGAGTAAGCGGCCTATTTCAGCTCAAAAGTGAAACCTCTGGTGTCTGCCCTGCCCACAGGTGACTGGGAAGTTCAGAGGCGGCGTAAACCCTTTCACCAACGGCTGTTGGAAGAATGTGTCTCATGTGCTTTGCAGCTCACAAGCTCCCAGGTGAGGCTTATTTTTCTTTGGAGTTTCACTAGCCTCAAGAGACATATGGAAAATTCGTTGGAGCAGTGTTTTGTTGCCTTTGTTCAGAGAATGAAACGCTCCCCGGGGTCATACCTGTGAGCGGGTCACGCAGTGAACGGCTGCCTTAAGATGCCGATTTGTGACACTTTGATGAGATCGGATGACAGTTAGTAAACTTTATGGGCAGTTTTAACGGCCGGTCACAGCATATTGATTACAGAAGTTGATCAAATCAACTTTTGGATGAGTAACCCGAGTTGTTTTTTTGTTCAGTGGCACAGTGGAAAATAGCCACGAGTGATTGCAGTTTTTCCCAAAAGGCCTTTTTTGAAAAGAATCATTAATTAAAAACTAATTCAATAATGTTTCTGTTCCTGATTAAAGAATTAGTTTTTTTCTCAGACAAGGTATATGAGACATGTGATAAGAGAAAAGTGAAACATTTCCGAGCTCCTCGTGGAGATGCACTGACGGCGTGCTTTGTGTGTTCAGGTACATGGGGAGGAAAAAGTGTCTGCAGAGTGTGAGCGTGCAGCCCCCGTTTCTGCGCCCTCAGCTGACAGAAGCCCAGCTGGCCGCCAAAATCCTGGACAACGGCATCCAGGGAGACCTGCACAGGGTGAGAAGAGCGGGATGGGGCAGGACGCCACCTCGAACACTATCCACTGTTATTAGCTCGTCGCTCGCTTTGATTGGACAAAAAGGGCAAGAACAAGGGGATTTCCTTTGGCTGTTGGAAAGCAAAGTTTTATGCAAACATTCTGTGCTTCAAATTCAAATCCGGACTTTGCATATAGCCACGTCCAGATGGCAGCAGGCAAATGAAACGCACTCTAGAACCTTGTCTCTAAAAAACCAACAGGGCCACACCTATCAGCATCCACCTATGATCCGTCTAGACTGATAGAAGCCAGATGGGCCAAAAAAGATATAAAAGATGTAAAAAGATGTTGTCACATAAGAAGAAGGATCCTGTTCTTTATATCTGATGTACTTTTAAAAGAAGCTGCTGTTTTGACTGTCTTTCACAGCAATGAAACAAAAAAATGTTTAGGAAAAATTATCAAAATATATATATTTTTGATGCGTCAGGCTGGAGAAACGCTTGCTCTTCTGAGAAAGCTCTGATCAAACAAAGCCCTGCAGGCAGCAGTATGGTTCTGTAACTCTGCTACTGCTTGTTTCCTTTGTTTTGTTGTCATGTTGAGTCATTTTGACAGGAAAAGATTCAGGTCTTCGCATTTTGTGTTCTCATCATAGTCATTTTTACGTAAAACAATAGCTGAATGAAGTGTTTATTATTCCACAGCGTGGTCACAATTGGGTTTCCATTCATATTCCTCCTTTATAATAATTTGTTTCTAACATTTGTGTATAAAGCAGTGAGATGGTGTAAAGATTAGTCATGTGACAGAGTATTTTTCTGGAATTTTTCTTCTTTCCAGTCCAAGTCAAGTCTTGAGATGATGGAGAGTCAGTCGTGTGATGCTGAGCCTCCTCCTCCTCCCAAACCAGAGCTGCGTTACCCTGGAATCACCAGGGGCAACACAGAGGGTAAACGTTTTCTCGGCCCCGGGGACAGTTTTTCCGACATCAACCCCAGTCCGGGTGGATTTTATCAACGATCTCTCTCCATTCCCCCCGCAGAGTGCAGCCTGCTGAACAAAACGCCCCCAACGCCCACAATGTACAAGTACAGGCCCACCTACAGCCCGGGGAAGAACCACACGGCGCTCACCCACGCTTACGCCAACCAGGTACTGTCGTCAGAGGGTTCACAAAGGGGGATTGGAACAACCCTTTTTCTCTTAAGACGCCATGTTTTTATTTGCATTTCTGTTCCGCTTGTCACTGCTTCTTTTTTCTCTTCAATAAAATGCGTCTCCTTTTTTTTTTTTTTTTTTTTTTTTTCTTTTCCCCTTGGCCCTTTTTTTTTTTTTTTTTCAATTAAATTCGTTTCCTTTTTTTTTTTTTTTCTTTTCCATTTCCCGTCGGCCATCTTGGTTTGATTTCTCAGTGGCTTACTGTTGATCAGTTTCAGTAAGTGATCATTCTGGAAGCATTCCCTCCTCCCGTCTGTACTTTGAACGTCGTTGCGTGTGCCTCTCAGTTTGCTCCAAACATGGCTCAAATACTAAAGAACCTCTAGTTACTGACTAGATCAGTCTAAATTTGCAGCACCATTTTAGAGCACGGTGCCTCAGAAGTCTTTGATTTAGTCCAAAGAAGGGATTGTAACAGGTTTGGTGCCATTGGTTCTTCTTAGTATTTGTGCCCTCATGTGGTCCAAGTCCTCCCCCCCGGTCAAATACCAACACTTCTCATCCCTTAATTCCTTCTTAGTTGTTCTCCATCTTCAAATTGTTTGTCCTTTCTAACAGAAATATGTCATCGTGAGACCTTTAGATTTTTCCCACTTTGTCAGTTGTTCGTCTGTAACTCAGAGCCGGTAGATCGTATCTCATGTCCACCATCATTGAAAATTAGCTGTGTGAGTAGCGTTAGAAAAGCCCCCCTTTGATGTCTTTGTTTCGTCGGATGTGCTGTTTTACAAAGAGGTAGAAAAGATATGCGAGATATTAATAAGTGTGGCAAACAACTCACTCAATTTGATCAGATTACAACGAATATGTTTGAGCAGGTTTATAAAAGGAGGAAAGACATCAGCAAAGACAACTGTCACGTCAAGCTCAGAGCTTTTAGGGTTCAGAAAAAAGCAAAGAGCAGACTGTCGTCTGCTCTTTGAAAAAGCGGAGTCCTCCTGAAGGAGTCATGTCACTCCCTGGCTGTTAGCAGACTCAGCCCTCTGAGCACTGTTTGCCGAGGCATTCTGGCTCAGGCTGTGGCTGGATAGGTGAGTATATTGTGTTAAAACGGCAGATTTTGTTGTTTGTCTAGGGCTGCATTCATCTCCTTTCCTGTACGGGTTGAGTTACTTCATATTTATAGAGTTCTTATCAACACTGAGACGTGAAAGGAAGGTTTGCAAAGGCTAGGTGTAACCAAAAACCTAGGGAAAGGGGTTCAGAAACCTGGTTTTCCGACATAGAGAGCGGGGTTGACACTAGAGGGCGCTGTCACACACAGGACTCAACGGGCCAGCCAAGCTCACCAAGCCTCTTGTTTCTTCCTCCGTCTCTCTTTTTTTTTTTTTTTTTCCTTCTCTCTCTTCCCCCTGCTCCCTCAGTTGAGTCGCGGTGAGAGTGTGGGCAGCGCCAGGGACTCGTCCTCCTCCACCTCCTCCCTCCTCCAGGCCAGCCAGCAGCCCGGCTTCCGCTCGCAGCCCAGCCTGGACCGGAGGGACGCCTCGTCCGACCGGGCGGGGGGCGAGAGGAGGGAGGCGGCGGTGCGGGGGGAGGGGGGAGGCGGCGGCGGCGGCGGCATCCCCGGCTACTCGCTGGGCGGGCGCTCCTACCCCTCCTTCTCCGACCCGGCCGTCCTGTCGGGCGTGGCCTCGCGCTCGTCCAGCTCCACGCACACGTCCGCCGGCGCCGCCCACGCCTCCGAGGCCACCACCGGCTCGGCCAGCTTCAAAAGCCTGGCCAACCAGACCCCCCCGCCGCACCACCCGCCGCGCAACGGGAGCCTGTCCTACGACAGTCTGCTGGCGGGCGGAGGCGACGGCGCCCCCGCCGAGGCGGCGGCGGGGAGGCCCTGCACGCCGGCCTACGGCTCCCCCTCCCCCTTCCTGACCCAGCAGCGGGAGAACGACCTGCACTCCCAGGCCTCCCAGTCCCCCCACCACCACCACCACCACCGCTCCTCGCACCCCCACCACCACCACTCCTCCTTCCTGCAGCGCTCCTCCTCCTCCACGTCCTCCTCCCCGCCGCCCCCCCCGGACAGAGACCGCCTGCTGGGGGAGCCTCACCCGGGCTCCCGCCTCCCTCCCGCCGGCCAGACCTCCTCGTCCCAGCCCCCCCCTCCTCCGCCGCACCACCACCACCACCATCACCACCACCACTCGCACCACCACCACCACCACTCCTCCGCCTCCTCCTCCTCATCCCACCCCCCCCCTCGCCTGGCCGCCCCCCACGCCCCGCCCCACCACGCCTACCCCTATCGCACCCGCTCCACAGACACCCCCCTGGGCCCCTCCTCCACCTCCACCACCCACCCGCCCCGCTCCCCGCACCCGCCCCCCCTCGGCAAGTCCCTCTCCTACTCCAGTGCTGCCGCGGCCGAAATGCAGTACCGGCTGGTCCGCAAAGCCTCGGCCTCAGCCGGAGCCAACGCAGCGGGTGCAGGAGGAGGAGGAATGGGAGGAGGGATGGGAGGAGGAGGAGGAGCAATGCAAGCGCCAAAGTGAGTATCTGACTTTCACCTTTTGTCTGGAAGACTTGGTTTGCTGCTAACTCTGAGACCAAATCCACCTGCCTGCCTGATTGATTGCTCCTCCTGCTCCTCCTCCTCTTCTTCTTTTTCTTCTTCTTCCCTTCTCTCCTCCTCCTTCTCCTACTGCCAGATTTCCTGTGAGTTCCTCCTTCTTTTCCCTTTGCTCATCCTCCACTCATCTGTGCGTTTTGTCACTCTGGTGTGTTTGGTGTGTTTGTTGTGTTCCCGTGTGGTGAGCTCGGCTCCCGTCGGGCCGGCGTCCGTTTTAAGGCGGGAAACAAACCGCCGCCACCTGCAGAGCCCAGAGAAAAACACGGGCAGCGGCCGGAGCACTCTAAAAGAGAAGGATTCCGGTGTAGCTATGATACCTGGGAGAACTCCCCATGCCGACATGCACGCGTTCCCCAGAACAGATCAGATGGGCCGATGCGGCGTGTTTTTTCAAATTTAAAAAACAAAAGAAAGTCTGATCTTCAAACGAGTGCCGGAATCGGGGCTCTCTGTCTTCTGTCTGCTCGTCGTTCTGTCAGAATTTGCATGCGTGTCTGTTACCATACAAGCCATCACGTGTGTTCATTCTGTTGCACCGATGTGAACAGTTCCTGTAAGCGTTTCCGGATGTTTTGTTTGTTTGTTTGTTTGTTTTTTTAGCATCAGCATGACGGTGCAGTTAGAAAAGAAGAACCACTAAGAAGGGCGGTCTTCGTTCAGGGCCTCTCCTGCTCGTCACAAACGTGGCCTCTGTTGTCTGAGCTAGTGCTGCACGATTCACAGAATCGCGATGCTATGCTGCGCAATTATTGGATTCGATTAAATTCAACTTTATTGTCATTACACGGGTACAGGTACAAGGCAAGAAATTCAGTTTAGGTCTAACCAGAAGTGCAATAGCAGCAAGTGCAGGATATACAATGAATATGTACAGAATAAATATAGATAAATACTATTATAAGCAGAAATTTTACAGATATATTTGTCCTCTGAAAATAATATATACATAACTAGTATTGTGACTGAATTTACAGATGGATATGTATTGAATACATATCACTATATTACTATATATATTTACTATATATGGATATTACTATAAATAGTTTTTACAGATATGTACCATAACATAATATACAGATGGTTGTTACTATAACAGAGTTTACAGGGGAATATGTGCTATCAATATATATGCAGGTGGCATACTATAAAAAGAATAAATAGTTTGAATTAAAGTACAGTATAAGATAATTGCATATTACAGTTAAAGTTTGACATTCCAAATGTATATGTAAACAATTGGTTCTTTAAATAAACAGTCGGTAGTGCAATATGCATATAAACAGTTATTACTATAGTAACAGTCAGCCGTGCAAGTGAACATTATAGTATTACAAAAAACAAAATGGAGGCAGGTGTGAGGAGGGAGAAGAGAGACTATCAGTATATGTATAATTATATCATTCGTATAAAAGATTGCAATTTACGATTTTGACATTCTCTCTTAAAAAAGGAAAGAAGGAAACTCTTTATCTAACATTTTGAATAATAAAGACATTGAACATGGCCTACATGAAAATTTAGGCATATCAGCACTAATATTAAGATGAGCCACTGCTGACCGTGTGTAATATCCAAAGTTAAGTCAATTACATCTAACAACTTTGAACAAACTGGGGAAGATAGATTTACACGAAAAAGCAAAAAATAAATTGAAATAGAATGTCCACCAAGCAGTTTTGAAGTAAAGTGTGAGAGATACATTAATCCTTAGATACAACAAAAAACGTTCAAATAAAATAACTAATAGCATTCCGTCCTTCTGTCTGTTGAAGACCAGCATATTGAGCCCACGATGGCACATTTTCATCAAATCGTGCAGCACTAGTCTGAGCCTTTTGGTGGGACAGTGAGTGGGACTGAAGGGACCATCTTTTCGCATGTTATTTGGCCACACGTGGCTGGACTCGACCCCCCCTGTGTGTGTGTCACCCGTCATGTCCGACATCCTCGCCTCACCCTCGGATTAAACTGACGCTCCAGGCACGGAACCGTCCCGCACGTTCACGTTTTTAACATTTTTTCATTTCCCCTCCAGGGATGAGCCGATCCAGACCAAAGCCCTGAGTCGGGCCAACGGCGGCCAGCCCTTCTCGTCCTCCTCCTCCTCGGCCCCCTCCTCCCCCTCTCGGCCCGTGACGGCCGCTCCACCCGGGGGGGCGGCGGTCCAGAGTCTGCTCCACAAGCCTCTGAGCGGCGGGGTGAAGAAGGTGACGGGCGTCGGGGGCACCACCTACGAGATCTCCGTGTGATCGGCAGCCGGCCTGCAGCCTCAAGGGACCAGTGAGAAAATCCTCAGAGGGGGGGGGGGGGGGGCGTTTGGAGCCATTTGTCTGGACCTCATACTCGGGCGGTTGCTGCCTCCACACACGTCTTCAGTAACTTTCCAGATGAGACAAAAAAAAACTAAACAAGATCTGCGATTTACCGCGGATTCAAAAGGACTTTTTTGTTTCTTTTCTTTTGTTTTTTATCGCTTTGGACCAACTGGGACCGATCCGGCCCGTTTCCGGGGTTTTTTTGTCCTCGCTAAAGCTCGGCAGGTCGCAGACGGCCCCGGCTCAGAGAGGCCAGGGCCAGGTCTGACGGGATGAAATTAATTAAAGCAGTGCAACGCACCAGCACTGCCAGAGCCGGCTCCCGTTGGGGGGCCCCCCGCATCTTCATCCAGATTCCCATGAGCACTTTTGGACTCAAGCAGGTCAAATAAGACTTTTTTTTTTAATTCAGTTTTTACGGCCTCACCGAGGTCAGCGGGAGGCGTTTGGGAAGCGGTCAATGCCGATTTCATTCAAATTGGAGGGCTTTCGCAGAACCTAAATGCCCTCCGGCCCCGGGGGGGGGGTCAGTTAAAGCCCCCCCGTTCCGTCGTTGTATCCACCAAGCACGGGTGGATCGCACTGGACCAAGAAACCCCGAGGGGGGGTCTGCTCTGCATGAAGTCGGTGCTGCCCAGCCAACCATCCCTGTGACGTGTTGTCCGCCCCCCACCCCCCCTCCCTTAAGGTCGCTACGGCTTCCAGCCCTCCGCTCGGACCAAAAAAAATAATTTAAAAATCCGAATCCCTTCTGATTATTTCCAGTGGACTCCTGACAATCTGACTGGGCCAGAACGGCTGACCCCCCCCCCCAGTGCTCGGTTTGCCTCTGGACAGGGCAGATAAATGTGACACTGAAGGAAAATGAGCGCCGATCGCCTCTTTCTTCGATCCACTCACTGACTTAATCCTAGATGTGAATATGATTCCATGTTTGTACAGGATGATGTGGTTTAAAATGTGTATTTTCTTTTTTTTTTTTAAAGTGGCGTTCTTATTGGACTGGAGCATGCACTATTACTACGAGCTGCTGTAGGTCCCCACAAACGGGGGCGCCGCCAGCTCGCCGTGGGAACCGCATCCCGGTTCCCGAAGGCGGCGCCGTTTTGTATAAAAGGAACCCCCCCCTCGAGCAATTGCCTTGAACATTCAAGTGTCGTCTTTTTATTTCACCTATTTAATTTGACATTCTTTTCTATGAATTTCTATGGAAATGTAGCTATTGATAAATGAAGTTTTTAATACCGAGTCAAAAAAAAAAAAAAAGTAGGACGCGTCAACCGTTGTCGGTGACGGCGTCCGGACGAGAATTACCCCCCCCAACCCCACCCCCCATGAGCCCCTCTCCGGTGTCATGCCTGGTAGTAGTCTAAAGCAAAGCCCTCCTCCACCCCGGAGTTGTTCTATGATGGAGCGTTCGGGCCACTGTGGAAATTTAGAGTTTTGAGTGTGAATGTTTCGACATTTGTGAAGAGAAATGGGTGATTTACAACAACAGCAGCAGCAAAAATAAAGAGAGAGAATTTAATGAAAAAGTATAGATTTCCCAAAAATGGTAATATTTCAACACTGAAGTCGTAAAGTCTGAAAATAAAAAGGTTGCATCGAGACGGCGTCGGCAATGGCGTTGACTCCCTTTTCTGCGTTTACTGTGAAGCAACTTTGGCTTTTAGCTTAAATTGAAAATCTCTCTGGTTTGAAAATTTGCCTCTGGGGAATCACTTCTACCTCTGAGCAGCGTGGGAATTTTTGGTGAGACGCCCTTTCATTTAATAAGTAGAGACCCTTAAATACCGCTTTTGAGACGCCAGTTTTCACTAGTCCAAAAAATTTAAATAAAATGTTTAAAAAAGTCTAAATGAATCGAAGTAAAACACAATAGAACTTTTTTTTTTTAAAGCCAAAATAAATTTTCTCTGAGGCTTTTTTAATATGGAACTTAAGTAAATAGTCACAGGTAATGAGTACTGCTGCAGTTTTTTCCCCTCAGGGTCACTCACTGCTGTGTCCAGGTCTGACGGGCTGCAATCTGAGAGGAAGGAAGACAAAGTCGACCTTAGCAAGACTAGCAGAGCGTCCAGATGAGCCTCAGCCTGATCCCCACTGTCCAGATAAGTCTTGGGCTCACACACGTGGGGTCATAGGACCCGGTCCCAGAACTTTAGAGGAGCTAACCGACCACCTTTTTTAAAACGCTAACACTCTGAAATGTGGAAACATGCTTTCTAGCAAATGTTCTAGCAAAAATAAATAACTAAAAAAGGGGGGATAAGGAGAAAGAACAAGGCAACTGCTCAACTGGTTGGATGCCGCAGGTCACTGCTAGCAGCTTTGCTAACGGCTACTTTTGGATTGTGTCCTCTAATCCAGCATCTTTAGGCAAGAAAAGTTTATTTGTATAGCACATTTTACGTACAAGACTATTCAAAGTTAGTTACAACTAATTTAAAAGCAGAAAAAAAAAGAATCATCAAAATAATGTTGGATTACTAGAGAAAAATAATTAACCCTTTCACAGGTTATGATCATTTCTGTCAGGGTTTTTGGGGATTTAAAAAGGCATACAAAAAGATGGACATTTTTAGTAAAAAATGTGTTTATTCTAAGATTTTTCCATACGTTCAGCCAAGTGGACAGCAAACATTTTAATACTTCCTACTAATGAAACATTGTATGTTACAATGTGAACATATTTAGTTATTTGTAAACAGAAAACTTAAACGGAAGACTTTGCATGCAACTTTCATCCTGTTCTAAGATTCACTGGCTCATAATTGGCCCTGTTAGGTTATTAATATTATTTCTAAAAGAGGCAAAGATGGAAGATTTCATTCAAGACTACGTTATGATGAACTCACACTGTGCTGAGCCACTAGATGTCAACTTTTTGTATTTTGGGGTCTGATTCATTCAGCCGACTATGTTTACATGTACTCTGGTAGAGTAGTGGGAGGTCTCAGATATGAGAGACCAAAACAATATGGCTGTGGGCACTTTTTCTGTTGCCAGTTAAGTCGAATTTACAATCCAAAGTGCCTTCCGTATAAAGGATTCAGAGCCTCCAGTAAACGGACCCCCAGCCTTTGTTATGAAAATGAGTCTGGAAGTAGTCTGAAAACCGCAACATCTATTTTTTCTGTTGACCACGAAGGGAATATTGCAGGTGGAATCTCCCTTTTCGAGACTCCTCCGGCGAACCCACGGGAGCAGAAACATTCACACAGCTCTGAGTGCAGCTCGGAAATTCTCCATGATGGAAGTTTATTATTGGAATGGTAAATACAAATTAAAAAAAACAAAACAAACAAAAACAAGGATCAACACAAAGAAAGGTGTCTGGCCGGAATGTAACAGTTTTCCCGTTCTCTGGAAACCCGACGGGCCGCAGACGGACGGCCTCGCGGACCGGTCAGGGACTCCGCTGACCGGCCGGAACGTTAGCACCGCTGACCCGGTGAAGGCCCGCCGGTCCCTGTTCACACTGTGGGAGCAGATGTCCGACAACATCTGCCGCTCCCCCGAAAAGAAACACAAAAATAAACCAACCGAAAGACGTTTTTAGCTTAGTTAACTTACGTTTACGCGTTTTAGATATGTGTTAGTCGTTTTAAGAGTATGAATGCTGGCATGCGAACGGTATTCCTCTTTATCTCAGAGATTAATTCGACCAATCAGGGCAGACTATCTGGCGGTGTAACAGCTGGTGGGATGCCATCATACAGACGCTCAGAGGAATGCAGGCTGAAACGAGGAGTGACCAGGCTGCTCATGCACGACTGAGTAACCCGGAAAAACCATCAGCATCCGGTAAATATTTGAAAAACAACTAAAAACTCTTCTGTTCGAACCGCTAAGGTATAAATTAGAGGGAAAATACGGATATTCGTAGGACTTCTAAAACTGTTAGTGGCTTTAAAGAGGAAAGGGACAGCATCTGGCTCTCTGCTGGGGTTTTCGTTTGGGATCTCCCTCCCGAGTGCGTTTCCCGGCGTTTAACGTGGGATCCTCTGGACCGCCCCCCTTTCCGAGAGTCCCGGCTGTGCTCCTTTTTTTGTTTAGTAACCGGCACGGCATTGACACAGCCGGGGATTTTGGGGTCAAAGGGAGGTTTGGAGTCGAGGTGCCGCACACTGGAATTCTCCCGGTAGCCCGTTATCCTGCAAAGTCTCTAAAAGAATACAAACAAAAAACTGAACACTGTAAAGACGAGGTGTGGGGGGGGGGGGGGGGGGGGGTGAGTTGGACAAACGGGGTCCTCCCAGAAGTCCAAGCCTGGCGGTACCGGGCGGCCTATTTGTCTTTCTTGGATTCGAACTCCTCCGTGGGGGCGGGGGCTCCCGGCTGCTCGGGCTCGTCCTCCTCGGGGACAGGGGGGAACTGGGACGGGCCCACCTTGTCCCCTTTGGTCTTGGCCAGCTTCTTTGACTTCTGGTACAATTCGTTGAGGTTGAACTCTCGGATGATGTTCTCCTGTCGGACAGATCCAGAAATTTAGAGTTTGATCATGAAAACGGGAAGAAAAGTAACATTTGACGAGCCTTTCTTTTCGTTTTCGCGATAGGTTCTGGAACAAGGGCCGTATAGCCACACCACCCAAAATTAAACGATACCTTTAAAGGAAGAAAATTAAGCCTGGACTAGAATCTGTACCCAATGCTTGAAAAAGCTCCTTTACATCAAAGTTCTGACCACTGTTGCTGAGAAATGTTTTAAAAGAAATAGCTTCAGGCACCTCAGTGAAGCTCCAGGACACGGCTCTGCCCTTTTTGTCCACCTGGGGGCGCCGCATGACCTCCTTCCCGCCCTGGAACAGCACTAATGACGGCAGCTGCTTGGACAGAGGGGACGCAGACACCCTGTACCTGCAGACCAGCAAACGACGAGTAAATAAAGACTCCCACGTAGGGTTGTCACGATACTAAAATTTTCAACTCGATACCGATAATCAGGAAAATATTCGATACTCGCTACCATTTTCGATACAAGGATTAGAAAAAGACCCCAAAATTGAACAGATTTGACAGGTTAGAGTTTTTCGTTACAAACTGACCTATTACTGATGTTATCGTGGCCAGTGGCCCGCATTTATGACCCTAACCGTAACCCCCCACCCTTCATAATTGTGAGAAATAAATATTTTTTGGTTAAACTTGTTTGGACTTATTGTACAAACCTATTTAACATACACTATTTTAACATAATACTATGTATAGAGTTGAATTCAGTGTTTGCAAGATTGGTATCTATACTTTTGAAAATGAGTATCGTATCCGGATACAACGTTTTAGTATCGATACTTTTGACAACCCTACTCCCATGTGTCTAAAAAGGGTCACAGAACTGTTTTACCTCTTGGAGACTTCACCGTAACGCCCGATATCGACCTTTCCAAACTTGAGGCCGGCGCAGTTGTACCTGAGGCACAGAGCGGGGTCAGGGGACGGGGTCAGGGGACGGGGTCGTGAGCTGGGCCCCCCTTCGGGGAGTCTGTAGCGGGGCCTTACTTTAGGGAGAGGTCGGCGTAGACCGAGGCGAAGGACTGGCACTCCGGGGACCAGTTGGCGAAGAACTCCACGATCCAGGTGACCCGGCCGTCCCTGGTCAGCTCATCCTGGGCGGACAGAGCCGACAGGGCCGTGAGCGGTCAGCAAACACTGGGCTCCCCTCGCTTTTGGGGGGAGGGGGGGGAACAAAGCGTTTCTACTCACATCTATAGTTTTGTCGCCGAAGTATTTGATGTACTCTGGTCCCATGTAGAGGGGAGGCTTGCAGGTCATCAGGAAGACTGGAACAAACAGGGGGGGGAAAAATCTGCCGCTGTAACTCAGTCTTTCATAAAATAAACGATGTCTAGTTCTTCTTTCCGTGTTCAACGGCGATTCTCATGGATTAGCGAGGGACAGAATTCTTTAGCTGTTCTCCGCTGAGCAGGGTTTATTTTCAAAACATGACAAAATATAAAGTTGTTCATATCAAATACATGCAAAAATAAACAGGGAATCAACAAAAAAAACAAAAACCAAAAAGGTTATAGTTTGAAATTCATCGGCCCGCCATGTTATCTTCCAGTTTATCATCATTTTTATGAAATTGTTAGAGCCATGACGTGGTTGCACCGCCAAGCGAGAGGAACTGAAAACATTTTTAATAATATTATATTATAAAAAATTAGGGCTCGCTACTTTTGCTGGCTATTACTAAATTCCCACGAATTTCACGTGAATGGCGTTTTTGGTTAGCTCAAAGGGGGCGTGGTCTAACAGGGTTTCCAGCATCCACCACGAGTGTTGTGCGCCAGCTGGCGTGTGGACTCACCTATGCACAGGGTCAGGTAGAGGAGTCCCATCCTGACGTCCAGTCGGAAGAACAGGATGACATTGGCCACCTTGCTGAACAGGATGATGTTGCCCACATGTTGCTCCACGGTTACTGACAAGAGCAGAGACAAGAGACACGTTTCTCTGTTGTCCACGCTAAACCCGGATGCAGGGGATGGAGCGTATTCTCAATTCTGGACTAGGAAGATGAATGCAGAGAATATTCCCACCAGCAATGACCATATCCAGAGGTCACTGCATCGCTCACCAACACTTAATGAAAATAAATAAGCAGGGTCTGCAGATAAATTCAATTGCAGTGATGTCAGGTGGCTCTCAAAAATAAAAGATGCAGATCTGGTATGAGTGACCCTAAAATTAAACATTATCTAAAATTCTTCAACAAAATAGCTTAATTAAAATCTAAATAAAAAGACTTTGTACCTCTTTAAAAACCACCTGTCCTCAAAAGGACAAGCAGAGATTTGTAAGCAGCACTTTTACACTTCGGGTAAATATTTCCTAAAACGAGATGAATGGAAATGGCTGGAAAGGAATTATTTCAGAAGGAGATTTAATATATTGTTTAACCTGTACGGAAACAATAAGATAAAGCTGTATGTACTTACTCGCTCTTCTGTTCTTCATCATGACGATGGCACTGAGGAACATGAGGATTTCCACTTCTCTCTGTGAACACGAACAGAAGGACTGTGGGTTCCATCCTTATAAAGCACACAATTGAATCTCTGCTTGCCATCTCTTGTAGTAATATAGTATTATCTTGGCACATCTTCATACCGACCAAAAACTGAAGGCAATCAATTTCAAAACGAGACTCCCGCAACATTAAATCAACGTTTCCAACCAGTTTGGGTGGGATAACAAGAACAGAACACATCCAGTCCAACCCAAATGTCATCATACAGAGTTTTAGCTTGTGCTGTCATGGTGGGGGGAGATGAGGTGTGCAACCAGAATGGCGTCCGGGAGGAGCTAACTGGACGTTCCGCCCGTGATGCGACACCCCAAAATGCTGCTTTCTGTCAATGCAAACGCTCCAAGTCATCACCCCGTATTTCACACGGCGCCCCAAGCAGTCGAAATTATTTTAAAACAAAGATATTTTCATCACCCGCCACTGTCACGCCACTAAACTGTGAAAAACGTCCATGTTTTGGGCCACAGTTTGGCCTGGTTCTTCACATAGTTAGGAACGGAACTGTCACCTGCCCATTGCTGCCCGTTTTTTTTATTTTTTATTATCCGGACCGGATCTAAATCGATAGAAAATTCCGGAAAGAATATTATAGAATTGTCTACTAACCCAGTCGAAGTCGCAGGAGTTGCCATCCTCTCGCTGTGTGGTCAGATGGTCGCAAATGCCGGGCGTTTTGCGGACAGCTAGGAAAGCTATGGACATGAAAAGAGAGGCTACATAGTACGGCTTCAGCAGCCATTTGTACACCAGCGGCAGGTGGTACAGGAAAGCAAATAATGGCGTTAGCAAAGCCATTTCCGGCCGACCTCTCTCCTGCAGCTAAAAGGCTGCCTTAATTCCACAAAGTCAAAGGTTTCTGGGGAAGAATCCGTTAGCTTAGTATGAATGGCGCTGCGTTAGCAGGCAAGTAAACACATAGAACGTGATCTCCGGCGAATGGGTGGGAGGAAATGCAATTTCCGGTTTAGATACATAAAAATAAAGCTATTTAAGTCTTTTTGGCGTCGTGTTGTCTTTTAAGCACAAACCTGCTATCATGTAAATTTGTAAAAATCAATCTTGATACTATGCTTTAGAACTTATCATATGGTTAAAAACAGAGACCACTTTATTTGCCCTATATTTACTCGCACTACTTTTAATGTGGAAATTGAAAGAAGAATTTCCGTTTTTACAGTCGCTAACGCACGCTACCTTGGTTCAGCTTTGGGGTCTGAAAGAGGCAAAATCCTTACAGCATCCGCTTTAACGGGGAGGAAAGTTTTGCGGAGGTCAAATAGGACGAGTTGTCAAAGAAAGAGCTGATTGGTTAGATTCAGGAAAAGAGCCGTTGTTGATTGGATGAAATGTAATGTACTGGAAGTGTATCGGTCCTCAATTTTAATGTACTCAATTAAGACCAAACACAAATGTTTTTAATGTATTAGGTACCTTACTTACTAACAAAAGATAACCATTTTTTAAATGCCTCAATGGTGTTCCACTTTTTCGGGGAGAAATTATTATTTTTGGCAATACATTGTTTTTTTTTTATTATCATGGGCAGTATCAATAGCAAATGGTTGCCAGATATGTTTTAAAATATGACTTGGCACAAAAATTTGAACATTTCAGTGACTAACTACAACTTCAATAAGTAGTCAACTCAAACAGAGTCCCCCTGTTGAGTCCTTTTCGTTGACCCATAAAAGCCAAGACCTATTTTTCCCTAAATAGAAATTATATGGAGTAAAAACTAACCAAATGAGCCCATTTATCACATAAAATAAAATTCAGGTACCAACCTAACATGCCAAATATCAGTGATTTTGAGAAGTTCCATTGGCCATATTTGGCTTACAGCACCTCCAACGGTCTTTTGTTTGCATAACCTCTAAAAAACAGAGTGTAAATATCAAAGTTGGCACATATAACAAAATTTGCTCTAATACAATGACTTAAATTGCAATTATGTTGGGTCATTTGTGATTGAATTAAGGAATAATGATCTACATTAAGATTATGTGATGATAAGAGTATCCATCACAGTATTATAAAAGGTACCACAGGTGAATGTGGAAATATGACTGGATTTGTCTGTTGATAACAGCCGTACTTTATTTATTAGCAAACTTTGCAGCTGACAAGCGGAGATGGTGCCTCTGAAAAGCACGAAAGAAAATGAGGGGTAAAGAACGGTTGAATGAAGTACTGGCTCATCATTCCCATCCCATTTTGTTTTATTTCCAGATATCTGAAAGTCGAAGAACACGCCACAGAAGGTTAAACAATTTTCAACATCCACTTGCTCGAAACACAATTGGCTTTTTAATTAAGAATGCATGTAATTTCTACACCATTATTATATGGCAGCTTTTATGATGGAAAAAAAAGTAAATACAATCTCTTAATGTCGGGTAAGTTGCCAATCTTTAGTAACAGTGTACACAAATGTAAAACCATCACTAATATCTCATCGTTTTCTGCTTGTTCAATACTCTCCAGCGGCGCAATTTGCATTTGTTTTGGAGAAAAATGACAAGTTCTGCTGCAACATTATAGATGGAAAGGAAAAACTTTAGTAAATGAAAATATTTAAAAGTATTGATATATTTGTCTTCATTGCTGCATTAGGCCATCTCTCCATCTGAGATAGATGTAAGAAGGGAGATGCTCTAATAGCTTAAGAAGTGGTACAACTGAAAACCAGACCTGCATTTCACCACCCAGTAAAGCTCTATTTAGGACATTGTTTCCAAAGTCAACGCAGTCCCTTCATTACATGTTTGCGATTTAATAGGTAATAACTTCATTTAAAAACATTAGATACTAATGGGCAATATAACTAAACCGTTTGCCGAATTCCTGTCATTTTCTACCATTTTCAGATTGTAGTTTTCATGTCTTGTCCCTTCAATCATCCATTCAAATATACTCAAGTATTTGTTAGTATAATTCTGTGGATACTGAGGGGCTAGTCATAATTGATCATGCAAAGTGAACATTCAGTTTATGCCACTTAACGGTCATTACACTGGCTCTAAACACTGAATATGTTTTACCTCGTATACAGTGATGACCAATGGGATTGGCCTTACTTGTTGAATACACACGAGGTGCCTTTCTCAGCTACCTAAGCA